CTCACGGTCCAGAGAGTTCACTCGAGCCGCGTGTGGTGGCTCCTCAATTTCCCAGAACCGCTGGACGACGTCCGAAAGGGACACGCCCACAACAGAGAGCTGGTCGGCCGTTTGAGGAGGTGGAGACCACAGAACCGGTCCAAAGAAGCTGTGCCCAAATACAGCGGACATGGCTGACAAGCCATCGGGCTGTAGGGCTCGTATCTGGCCTAACAAGATGAACCCCAGAGCGTCGGCCCCCAGCAACAAATCTATAGGCCCAGGTTGGGACCTTTGAGGGTCTGCCGGTCTCAAACCTGACGCACAACCAAGTGGAGGCCACACAGCGTTGTGAACCCGAATCCAATAGAGCGCGAACCGTTAAACAGTCGCCACTCGGATTGTACACCTTCACTGAGGCCGGCGGCAATAGAACAGTTTGACAAGTGGACTGTTGACGGCTCAAAGGATCAGTGGAGGCGGCCGTGGTGGGAGCTAGGGCGGCAGCTACCTAGCTGGAGCTGCCTCCATCGGACCGGCACTCGAACCGGGGATCCCGAAAGCGGCATTCCGGAGGCATCTCAATGACCCGTGGTTGGAAATCACCAAATGGGCCAACCTGGGGAGCTTTGGGGAACCTCGGCTTTGAGGCCCGGGACAGCCTCGAGGTCACAGGAACCTCGTAGTACCGGTACCGACCAAAGGGGTGAGGGTGATACTCCAGTCGCGGCCGCTCAGCTAACGGGGGTGAGAAGGGTCTAGCTGACCGCTGAGTGGCCATGAAGTTCCTCTCAACACGCTGAGGGGAGGCGACAACCCCCCCGCCCCTGGGGGAACGACCGCCCGACTGGTCGGGGGAGGGATACCCTTCAAAACGAGAGGCACGGTGGTCGGCAGGCGAGCGCCGAGCGTCGCCCGACAGAGGGCGTGGCTGAACGCCCCCGCCCGTGGGAGCTGAGGGCCCGGCAGAGCCCCGAGAGGAAACGCCGTTCGCACCCAGGCACAAAATGGCATGGTGGTTGCCCTGGCAGTGCGGACACGGCCGCTGGTGCGGGCAGTCTCGTTGGAGGTGCCTTTCCAACCACGAGTAGCACCAGCGGCGCTCCTTCGCGATGGTTCGCCTCGCCGGGACCGGCTTACCCAGCAACTTCGGGCACGACGTCACGCGGTGATCGGATGCTCGAGCAGGGGGCGCCTCCCTAGCCGCTAGGCCACGGCTATAAGATGGTAGGGGGCGGCGCCCTCCCGCGGGAGCTCCGCTCGGCCTTAGGAGGGTTGGCGACGACTTACCCGGCGGGTTCCGCCTCTCCCTGGGCACGGCTCTGTTGCCAACCCGTAGGTCGTCGACGGTGACCGCTGCGTTCTCAAACTGCCGGCACTGCTCCTCCAAGAACCGCAGCAGGTCTCTGAAAGGCGGAATATAGGAGGCACCGTCCCCGCCGTACCTCTCCTCAAAATGGATTCGAAGGTCGAGAGGCAGGCGGGACAGAACGATGTGGAGCAACAAGAAGGACCATTCGTCCACCGGTAAATCCAGCCGCCTCAACGAATTACAGGCCACCACGACTGGATTTACGATGTCCGGACGTAGTCTGGCCCGGTCCCTAAACAGCGGGACGTTTAGGAGCTGCCTAACGTATTCGTCCGCGATTCGCCGGACGTTGGCGTATCTTCCGCCGAGGAGGTCCCGGGCAGTCTGGTAGGCGTCGTCCGACAATTTCAAATGGCCGACGACGCCTAGGGCCTCCCCCTCCAGTGAGGCCAGGAAGTACGCCATCTTCTGGCTTGGTGTCAAGTCCCTCCGGGCGTCCACTAGGCTATCAAAGAGGCCAACAAAGGTCATCCAGTCGGAGAGGACCCCGGAGAACCTTGGCAGGTCCAGCGTTGGGAGTCATCCCAATAGCTCCGGCCGAGTAGGCTGCTTCCGAGGGGACTCGGGCAGGCCACTCAGCCGAGCTTCACGCGCTTCATTAGCATACTTGGCCCCCGCCTCGATCAAGTCGTCCGTGAGCGAAAAGAATTACTCGTAGTCTGCGAGGCAGGAGTCTAGGACTCCTGCCTCGCAGACTACGAGTACGACGACTGTTCCGCATCCGAGGCCAGGACCTCAGTAGTAGCCTTCTCCACTACGGCCCTTTGGGCCGCGACCTGCTCGAGCCGCTTCTCTAAACTATGGACCCGATCGGGTCGCCATATCAAATTATGGGCATTCGCGGCCCAGCGCAGCTCCGCCTGCAGGCGAAGCGCCGGTGGCTTGTGCGATGGCATCACTACTAAATACAAATTACTATTAAATTGAATTAAATACAAATTACACTACACGGCACAAATACAAATTAAATTAACAAATAACAAATACAATTACTATTAAATTAAGTTAAATACAAATTACACAGTCGGTCAACAAAGATGCCTCGCTGAAGCGACCGATCCTTCGGCTATTTAATCTACTTACCCGAAATACCTGACGCGTAGGGACCTAACCCTAAACTACACTCCGGCTTGCGCAACCTAACGGGCGTGGTTTTAATTCTACCCAGCGATCCGCTAACAAAACACAAAAAATATTTATTTTTTATTACGGCTGGGCGTGATTGGAGAAACAATCAACCACACTCTGCTACCAGAAAATGTTACGGCCCTCAATTGCCCAGACAGAAGTCGACTGTATTAGGGTCCATCGCTATATATACACTCGAAGAGCAACAGAGGGTTCGGGCCCAAATGGCCTATGGATAATTAACTAATAGCTTATAAGCAAGCACAAACTTACCGAGTTCCGGAGGTAGTGTCGACCACAAGGCGAAGTCAGATGGTAAAGAGGCGGTCTTAACGAGGCCCAAATATTCGATAGTAAATAATCGACACTACGGCCGCGCCCAACTAACTCGCCCACGCGTCAGGCGACCGAGCGGTGAGCCGAGAGACCCGCTCGCGGGAGAGGGGGTACCAGGCGGTGACTGGTACCATCGAATGAACGCGCCGAGCGCGCGTCGTGAATTCAAGTTTCAAAGGTTAATATTTGGCCTAAACACAAACTCTGAACTAACAATGGCCTTAACAGCAGAAGTTGTGAAATTTTTCGACACACTGACAGCGTCAATGGCTACCCGGGTGGTGTGCAATGAGGAAAGTTAAGACAAGTGGTTAAACAAAATTCACAACATCACACTTTTTGGATTGAAGCCATTAATAAAATTAAAAAAAAAGTGGTTTTTGTAGACACCAGTAGCAAACATGCTATACAAGTAGGAAAACCTCGACTTGTGCGAGTGCCATCCCGACAAGGATGGATAACTTGAAAGTTTTATAAGGGTCTCCAAATTATTATTTGAACAGTAGAATATTATTATCCAAAAAATATTAACCAAGACTCTTCAGAAATTTATTTTTGGATGTATAATAACTATAAAATATAGAAATGTTGACCTAGATGGAAACATATGTATATATGCTTTTAAATATCTGATATTATCTAACATGGTTAGTCCACATTCGAAATTCTCTAATTGTGAAGAGGATTATGGAGACACATTATTAAATGTTAGTGTACTTTTCAAAAATGTTCATAATAATAAAGAAAATTACTTTGAAAACACTCCCAATGTTTTGCGAGATCTCCTATGCTCTACTAGCAAGTGCAAGAGAAAAATTGCTGGTGGGAAACCACTGATCAGCTTCCACTGCTGGATACATTTTGTCGGAAAATATCGAAAGGTATTTTTTGTAAGGATTGTATCAAAACATTAGCATTAAAGAGGCAAATATTCACTTACATAAAATCAAGAGAGTATAAATTGTTGAAAAATAATAATTTGGCATACCCTAACGAAAAATTACTTATCTTGTACAGGGATGGTACTCACTTTATTCATAAGTATTTGAATTATAGCTGTATTGAAAGTAATGTAAAAAGTAGTTTGAAAAGTAAAATGATGAGCACTTTGAGTTTTTCCTGGCTAATTTAATAAGCATGCCTTAATTGTAAAAAAACTTTTTCATAAATATTTTAATTAGATTACACAGGCACAATTGGTGCAACACAAATAATATGTTAAGCAAATAACTTTATTATTAATGTAATTAAAACAATTTGAAAAAATAAAATGGCCAGGTTTACTCTAGATGAAAAATTAATAGGATTTCTACTAATGAAACAAAACTCCAAACATTACAAACTTATAGAAAAAATGTTTGTCTTGTCTAACAAACAAATGTTATATAGACAAATAATAATTTAGCATACCCTAGCGAAAAGTTCCTTATCTTATATATTGAAGGAATTCATAACTATTTGAATTATAGCTGTTTTAAAATTAATATATATAAAAAGTAACTTGTAAAGTAAAATATTGAGCACTATGATAAACTATGATTCTTGTGGTTTCATTTATTTAATTTGCTACTTGCTTTATATAATAAACAATAAATATTGCTTTCTTTTCGTCGAATTGTACCTATATACAATGTTATGTACATTTTTAATATGTACATGATATTGGTGTGAATAAATAATAAATGTTTATGTACTATAATTGTTTCATTAAGTAATATTTTAATATAATCATAATGCACCCTTACGTCGATATCGATAAAATAAGACATCACTAAATATCGTAATCGATGATTTGAAGGATGTGTGCTTGCAATCACTAAGTTATACATAGCTATACTGAATTTGTATAGTTATTACTCATCTGTCAAAAAAGGTGACTCCAGCGCCAAAAGGCGTAGTTGGGAAACTTGACTAAAAGTAACTGTCGTACATATCTGTAGCTTGCTACATATTTATTTATCTATGGGAGTAGTTTTTTATTTACATGTGTTACCTACGTATGTACATAAATTATTATCCATTTTGTATATGTAATTATCCACCGAAAACATTACATATACACAGATTTTAAAACAATTAATAAAATTGGAGTGTTAGGAATTTCAAAAGTACTCTCCTGAAACAAAATATGGGCTTAATGTTGTGTATTGAGTGATTAATAAGTTAAGTATAATTTAGGATAACTATGTGCTGTGTGCAAAATGCAGAACGACAGCCAACAGCTTTGCAGACAGCATTTGCTGGAGGAGCAGCTGGTGCGGTTACACGAGCGATAGCACAACCTCTCGATGTACTGAAAATAAGATTTCAGTTACAACTTGAACCTATAAAGAGAGGCTCAAAATATAGTTCTATTGTTCAAGCACTATCTTCAATCGTTAAGGAAGAAGGTGTCTCCACTCTTTGGAGTGGGCACATACCAGCACAATTACTATCAATATCATATGGAGTTTTACAGTTCTCTATTTTTGAAAAACTGACAGAGTTATGTAGAAGATCCGATCCAAAGTTCTATATTGATCATAAGCATTGGTTAAACTTTGCTAATGGTGCTACAGCAGCTTCAGTTGCAACAATAGTCTCCTTTCCTTTTGATACAATAAGAACTAGGTTAATAGCAGAGCAAAAAACGCAGAAAGCCTACAAAGGATTTTCTAATGCTGTTTCTGTAATATACAAGACAGAAGGTTGTAAGGCATTATTTAAAGGAATTATTCCTACATTGGCTCAAGTAGCACCACATGCTGGAATACAGTTTGTTGTATATAAATCCCTAACAGATAATGTTTTCAATAGAATAAATTTTTTTCAAAGGTATACCACCCTAGGGGAAGTTGTTGGATCATCAGTATCAGCAAATTTCATAGCTGGTGGTATTGCAGGTATAGTGGCTAAAACTACAATCTACCCTTTTGATGTGGTAAAGAAAAGGCTTCAGATACAAGGTTTTCAACAGCATAGGAAGAATTTTGGAAAACAAATGTATTGCAGTGGATTATTTGATTGTATTAAGCTTACAATAACCGAAGAAGGATTTCTTGCGCTTTATAAAGGCTATGGACCTAGTGTTCTAAAAGCTATCTTGGTTTCAGCATTACACTTTGCTGTATATGATGAGATCAAACATTTTATATTGAAGTTATAATGTTAGGGTATTTATTTATTATAACTTGGCTTTTGGTCACAGAAATTTAGTATAGTGTATGTGAGTTAATATGGTCATCCAGTTAATATGGTCACTTTCTTTTAACTCAAAAACTACAGCCTTGTTTGCGTAGATGGCTCTGTGATAGCTATATAGATAGATAATAGCTTTTCATCAGATAATTAAATAATAAAAGGTCAAATGGGCACTGAGTAAAACTAGACATCTGGTACTTGCGTACGGGGGCGGGGGGAGGGGTGGGTTCAGATAGAAGACCCCCTTTCCCCCTTGTGGAAAAGTATAGTTTATGAGTAATGATTTTTTTGTAAAATCATAACCTCACCTTTTTTACACAGGAGTATTGACCCAAAGTTACTTCTGCAATGGCTTCACCTGAGGCTGGTTGCCGAAGGCGACAAAGAAGCAAAAGGTGCGGAGATGAGCTGCAGCAGGTGAGGGCTGCTCTCCCTCCACGCCTAAAGCTTTAGAAAAACACTCCAGGGGTAGAGCAGACAAAACTACGTGGAATCGGGGCGTGCTGATTTGGTTGTAGTATAGATTCAACTTATCTATAAGGTCAGGTTGTTCTAAACTCTGCTATGATATTGGTAAATGAAACAACATGTAATGTGAACTGTTATAATTTTTTCTCAAAAATTTTTTGACTGCTCTCTCCTGCTAGTCAATTTCTTGTGTATGAGTTACATCTTTAGTCACAAATGAATTGTCTGGGTCTGAGTGATTAAGTTCTTATGGGTGTACCTGTGTTAAATATGTTACCTGTGTTTTGTTATATGCAATTTTAAATTAAATTTATTTTTTGCCATAGTTAAGTCAAAATATGATTCCGAAATACAAAAATAGTGTAAAATGTTCAAGATTAACCTTGACAAACTTCCTACTGAAAACATAATTAAAATTAAGTACCAGACGTCTACTTTATTACAACACTAGACCAATTTGACATTTGATAATTTCGTTATATGCAATTTTTAGTGAAATTTATTTTTATCGTAATTAATTCAAAAACATTGTAAAAGGTACAAGCTTAACCATTACAAGTCTCCTAAACTGAAAACATAATTAAAATTAAGTATTGGATGTCTGCTTCATAATACTAGACAAAATTGACATTGATATTTATTTTTATCGTGATTAATTCAAAACACATTTCCGACATCCAAAAACAGTGTAAAAGGTTCAAGCTTAACCCTGATATGCCCCCTAAACTGAAAACGTAACTAAAATTAAGTACTGGATATCTGTAGCGAACCCGAATGCTGGTTTATTGACGGCATTTTGACAGGACAGTACAGTAAATATGATCATCAAGCTTTTTCTAGTAGATTTTTCGAAGTGTTCCTATTTATTGCCAAAGCTTGTTTGCTATTTTTTCTTAATATATTAGTTATAGTATATGACAACAATGCGTAAGGTGACCATATTACCTTCACATACCTTATAGTAATATAGAGTAATCATTTTGTCCTGAATGTTCATTCATTCAATACACCCTATCAAAAGCCCACTGCTGAACATAGACCTCCCCTATAAATTGCTTTATTGGGGGATATTTTCCATAGTTGCCAGTCTTAACAGGTAGGTTGGCAACCACAGGTTATTTATTATTACATTTATGAGTCATCATAAGGGAGAATGCTGCCTCCTATTTCAGTTTCCTCTTGTTGCCTCTAAAGACACCCAGGGGATGATACGGGGAAGTGGATTCTTTATCTCCTGAATATAAACTTCTCATAAAAACTGCCACAAAATACTGTCCTGAGCTACAATCATCCAGACTTTCTCCTGCTCATTTTATCAGGTGCCACTCTAATGGCAGCACTGTACTTGACAATATGAGGCTCCTACTCCGAAATCTGTGGTTTTTGAGAATGTGTTGTTACAGTGTACATTAAGTATTACAAAATTTAGGTGTATTGTTTGATCAATTAACTTTAGCGATTTGTGTTTTAAGTAATGAAATAGGCTTAATTTTTTTTTCTTATCATTAGAATTACAAAAAGTAAACTAGCTGTATGCAGAAGGTGCTCTATATACGTTTTTTATTTATTATAATAAAATATGAACTATGGTTATATTTTAAACACCACTATTATTTTGTCACATAAACCACATTACCATTATACCTTGTTTCTTAAAAAGATTCTAGCTGAAATATTGTTGGAATCTAGTTGAGCAAATTAAAACAAAAATATAAATACACTAATTATGTTATTAGTATGTTTTTGTAAAATAAAACTAAAACACTATGTCTGTCATTTATATGAAACATATATGTTTCTAGTTAATATTTACATATATAATGATTGGTGGGACTGTTAGTGATTGTATAATAAGGGCTAATAGTTTTCTGCTCACCAGATGTCGCTATTTGACACTGAGGTAAAGTTTTTTGTTACACAATGTCATTTAATTGAGAAGTTAATTTTCAAAAAAAGTTTATGAGTTTCTAAAGTATTAAATTAATACACAAAACAATGCCTCAGAGGCTTGCTCTTTAAATTTTTGCACATTTTTTTTAATTTTTCTAATTTTATGAATTTCTATAGTTTGGTTTATTTATTTTTAATCTTATTAGTATAAAATATAGCAAATACTACAGAAAGAAATATTGTTGCGCGCCACTGTCAATGTCTTGTATATGGCAACACTAGTTACCACTAGCGCCCTCTAATGTTGAGTACCAGAACTAGGAGAGTCAAGATCCTTCTAGAAATTTCGGGATCGATATGTACTCGAACATACTAGTTGTTTCTACAGTAGAGGTTCTGGAAACTATCTGAGGCCCTATATAAGGCCGGTATAGATCACGACCGATACAAGAGAATACTTCGAAGCGAAATAACTGCGAACTAAAGTGATCAGTAGTACAATTGTGTTTTATTATTAGTGTGGTTTTAAATTGTAATTAGTGTTCTGTAATTAAAGTGTCAATTTTGGTAATTCACTCGGCAGTTTTTAAATGTCTCGAACCCCAAGCTAACCTTTACAATACTAACCTTTACATTTTCCGAATAAATTAACTTCCCCGCCATGAAATCTGTCAAATAATAATATTAGGTAGGTTAGTTATAAACCTCACTTTGACAGATGACAGAAAAAGTCGTGGATAGTCGCCCTCATTTCTATAGCTACTGATAGAGATCATATTTTTACACAATAAGTCTATTAGTTTTGTTAAGACAGTAGTTCTTAGCTACCCTAGAATCCGATAATGACGCCTGTATTCACGGAACCCACAACTTAGTAGAAATTTAAGCTATTTAATTTAACTTTATATAATTACTACCTTGCCCGGCAGACCTTCTGTTCTTTCCAGTAGGTTGCGCTATGAATTCACTCTGAACTTGAAATGAAAATATAAAACTTACTTGTTACTTACCTCACCACAGTGCCACCGATCGGGTTCAGAGTTTCTGATATATTGAGAATGTTAGTAATTTTGGTCCATAAGTATAGAATTTGTAAATAACCTAATAACTACAGCGCCATCTATAAGATCCTTGCAAAGTTATAAGTCATCTTGACAAAACAAAATATATTCTTATTTTGTGAATATTACCTCAATCAGTTATTCAAAATAATTTACATTCATTGTTATAGTTTTCTATAACAATAAATGATCGTAGAATGTCATCTTGATTAACCCCGCATACCCACCGACAATTATAAGACACATAATATCACATATAAAATTAGTTTTTATAAAATGTTACCTCTACTCTAGGATTTTCTCACGTATTGTAGAAGCAGTTAAAATACATAAATTTCACAAACATTCAGACCTGGCACAAATATTTGTAGGTCAGACAAATACTAGATAAAGCTACTGCGGCACGGAGCCGCCAAAATAACTATTAATGTTAATTTTTACTATATTATATTAGAAAATTTTAGTGTCCTTTCTATAATATTGTTTTTTTTTTATAGGGTAAGGGTGACAAACGAGCACACCGTCCACCTGATGGTAAGTGGTTGCTGTGGCCCATAAACATTTACATCTATCTTCGATTACGAATCAAAATGCAGATGCGTTGTCACCCATGAGGACTAAGATGGAATGCCTCGTTTCCAGTAAAAAGGGTCTCCGGTTCTCTACACTCACCATACGAAACACAGCAGCGTTAAGTTGCTATTTTACGCTGGTATTCTGTGAGAGCGTGGTCCTTCTCCGGTCGAGCCGACCCATTCGTGCTACAACTATACTAATATATAATATAGCTGCAGCATGGCTCTACTACGTATTAAGCTGTCGGTTCTGTTGTGTTTGATCTGTTTTATAAAGCTTAACTAACATGTGGCGGCAAAAGAGAAAACAGCACCCAATTTCATGTCGTGAGTGTCGAAAGTGACGACAATGGGATATGCCAGAAATATCTATTGGTTTCCAGCATTGGCAGTTGTGTAATGGCGGAGTAAAAAAACTTTTTTTTTAACTATTATGAGTTAGTGCTTGACTACTATGCCGATTGGTGGTAAGTTATGACGCAGTCGAAGATGGAAAAGAGTGCACTAACTTAGTTTACAAATGTCTGTCACTCTTACCTTGAAAACACCCACATCACCACAACCCCTGTATCTTTCCATCCGATTACAAATATGATACAAGAGGGATAACGATGATAAGTGAAGATGAAAGGCTACTCTATGCTGGTAATAATATTAATCCACTACTCTGTTTGCGGGGCCTCGATTCTTTGGTCATTTTTAAGATTAATTTTACCCATTGAGTTATATGTACTACGTACTAGAGAAGCCATTCCGAACATTGACTATGTTCAACTGAACTGTAGTGCAATCCATACAAACTAAATATTGCGTAAATTGAAGATTTGTGAAATCCATAAAATAATTATTATTACATTTTATTTACAAATATGTTTGTTTAGATTAAATTAAGATATTTTATATTAAATCCTTACATTAATTTTATATTAATATCTTATTTTATATCAAATTAAAGTCTTCGCGCATGCGCG